AATAAAAAAAAAAATAAAAAAACACATCATAGTAAAATTAATACCTTCTCAGCTTCGCATCGAAGCTAAAATTATATTGATACGTTCATTTTTGAAAAAGTTAGAGCATTATTAAGTTAAAAATATTAAAAAAAATTATTTTACCAAAATCGTATTTTTTTATTAACTTTGATGTCAACTTTCACCACGAAGACAAGTCCAGAGGTCAAATTTTTTTTTTCAAATTAAAGTATATTACATAAGCTTCAATTTAAGATATATATAAAAGTGTCAGACCTTCCGGAACACTTTCAAAAGTTAAGTTGAAAAAGTTCTACTTTCTATATGCATTTTTTATATTTGAAGCCCCCCCATATATAGGGAAATAGTCTGATTTAAAAAAAAAGTATATCCANAAATTGTATTGGTCCATACATTTTTTAAAAAGTTATAGCACTTTAAAGTAAAAAATGTAAATTATAAAATCGAGAATTTTCACACAAAAATAGCATTCGGTAGCCATTTTCACCATGAAGACAAGTCCAGAGGTCAAATTTTTTTTTTTCAAATTAAAGTATATTACATTAGCTTTAATTTAAGATATATATAAAAGTGTCAGACCTTCCGGAACACTTTCAAAAGTTAAGTTGAAAAAGTTCTACTTTCTATATGCATTTTTTATATTTGAAGCCCCCCCATATATAGGGAAATAGTCTGATTTAAAAAAAAAGTATATCCAATGAAAGATGTATATAAATACTACTTCTTATGAAAAAGTTGTATTGATCCATACATTTTTTAAAAAGTTATAGCACTTTAAAGTAAAAAATGTAAATTATAAAATCGAGAATTTTCACACAAAAATAGCATTCGATAGCCATTTTCACCATGAAGACAAGTCCAGAGGTCAAATTTTTTTTTTTCAAATTAAAGTATATTACATTAGCTTTAATTTAAGATATATATAAAAGTGTCAGACCTTCCGGAACATTTTCAAAAGTTAAGTTGAAAAAGTTAATTTTTTGTGAAAAAGTTGTCTTTTTAAATCCCCCCCTGTGGGCAGATAAAGGGTCAAATTTACAAAAAAAATATATCAAATGATAGGTAAAGACATCAATCATCTAAAAAAAAAAAATTATATTGATACGTTCATTGTTGAAGAATTTACGGCATATTTTAGTAAAAAAAATTGAAAAAATTTAGAAAATTAGCGATTTTTAAATTTGTAATTTTTTTGGAGGTTTCCCCCATTTACGGGGAACGAGGGAAATTTTTTCAATTTTGAAGGGTAATGTCTTCGACTAGATACGATTTGTGATCTTTTGACGTATCGTTGAAAGAAATCCGTTCGGTGAGAGCTGAGAAAAAGTGGTAACAGACACAAAAAAAAAAAAAAAACACATCATAGTAAAACCAATACCTTCTCAGCTTCGCATCGAAGCTAAAATACGTTTCTGCTTATATTATAAGTATTATTTTTAGGGATATTTTAACTATTCCGGCTTTACGAATTTTCGAACATACACACGTTAATTACTTCTGTGGTAATTTTCCGAAAGTTCATGAGTTAGCAATTTTTTAGTCCAAAACAAATTTAAAGTTTCAATTATGACTTATATAAATTGATATTTTTGAAATGTGAATAGAAAAGCCTTATCGTTAAAATTAACTCGCTTTTGTCAAACGATAAAAAACATTTTACTCTACGCATATATTTTAAGGTATTTTAAAACCCCATTTAAGGGTCATAATTGCTTTTGTCCATAAGCGACTGAACTAATTAGTTAAAATGTTATCATTGATATCAATATCGTTTCCGGCTAAAATATTTTTGATGAATATACTTATATTTTTTGGATGTTTTACGCGCTCCAGTGAAGTATATAATCATCGTTTGAATGTGGTTAGGAGTTAATGATCCAAGTTAGGATTGGAATAGTCCATGGATAGTCTTATTCTTGTTTCCATGAAAAAATATTTTGCTATTATCAGTGTTCCTAACATCATAAAGTAGCAGAAATCTCACCGCACGCGTTGCGACGCAATCTCAATAAAATATTAACTTATTACCTACTGCTGAATAAAACGTTCAAAATCCTGTTTCGTACTTCTATTATCATATATTTTTTTCAAAATTTTTTAAAATTTCAATTATTTTACTTGTAATATATAAGTTTATTTCAACTGTATTTTCTATAACTTTAATTATGGCATCTAGAAGGATAGACCCCAAATCAAAAGAGCTTTACTCTACCGTTAAATATGTTCAAGTTGAAGGATTAGTAAGTAGCTGTATAAAATTTCAATTAATAATTATGATTATATTTATTATCAGCTAATTATAATTTTTCAATATTAGGCGCTAATGAAGATTGCTAAACATTGTCATGAAGAATGTGCTAGTGATATAATAATTGCACAAGGCGCATTATTGGGATTAGTTGTCGATGATTGTCTTGAAATTACCAATTGTTTTGCTTTTCCAAAAAGTGTTGATGAAACTATTAACGATGGTAGAATTACATTTTTATTTTAGTATATGGATTAGTTATGTGTATAGTTGTAATCTTTATTACAATGATCATTTGACGTTATTTGATCATCAGTGGCAAATTATTTTTATTATATTTTAATACAATCATAATGTAATTGTTGGTTATAAATTGAAGTCAAAAATTAAAACTATTGTAGATTAAAACTATTATGATACATGCTTCATAATAGTTCTAGATATGATAAAAATAGGGTATATTTAAAATAAAATAGTTATGAAATAATTTATTTTTTGAATAATCAAAAGTTGATTTTATATATATATATATATATATAAATTAAATACTATGACCTTAAAGAAAATACTTTTAATTTAATATTTTTGTGTTCATTGTCTCCCTCCTCTTAACTGTACTGCTGATTATAATATTTATTAAATATAAAAAATATCATAGGTTTTACATCTATCATTTTTGTGACAAAATAATAAATATTTAAAAACAAGTGTTGACATTTTTTGATTAAATGATTAAAAACAAACTCCTTGTTATTTATTATTTTGTGTGTTATTTTATCAATGTTATAATGTTTTAACAATTTTAACAAATGGTAGTTAACATGTTAATTATTTATGAATTTAATGTTTTGTAAATTTAGATAACCCTGAGCTTCCATACAAGTTTTTCTTAGTGAAGCTCAGTAATCACTGGTATAAAAAAAAATATATATATTGATATGGTTTTAGAAAAATATCAGTTGGATATGATGAAAAGTCTTCGTCAAGTCAATGTTGATCATTATCATGTTGGATGGTATCAAAGCTCTGATGTGGGAAATTTTTTAAGTTTACCTCTATTAGAGTCTCAATTTCATTACCAAACAAGTATTGAAGAATCTGTTGTATTAATTTTTGGTAAGAAAAATTATTTAATAAAATCTATTAGCTAAATTTAAATTTGGTTGATGTAATTAATTACAAAGTATAAATGTATTCTTTATAACATAGTATTTTACTACTCAGAACTATTTTTTGTTTTGGTACATTAAAAATTATTTAATTTATTAATTACAGATGCTCCAAAAACAAATCGTGGTTTCTTATCATTAAGTGCATATAGACTAACTCAACAGGCTTTGACTATGTTCAAAGAAAATGATTTCAATCCAGATACCTTAAAATCATTAAAAGTTGGTTATGATAACTTATTAGTTAAAGTACCTGTTGTGATTAAAAACTCAACATTAACCAATATTCTTCTCTCTGAGTTAAGTTTTAAAATTAAACTTGACCAAGATTCAGAACATTTAGATATTGGAACAGCGTAAGTATAACCTTATTAACCTTTTTATGTTAATCATAATGAATAATTTTTTTATATATATATATATATTCTGAATAACATATATTACAGAACTGTTTTGGAAGGTCAATTACGTAATTTAATGGATAGAGTAGATGATTTAAATCAAGAAGCCATTAAATTCAACCGATATCAACAAGCTGTTGTACGACAAACACAAGAAAAACATCGTTATTTACAAAAAAGAGTAATTAATTATTTTTAATTTGTTCATGTTTACTAATAATAAAATTTCATATTACTTTTATCCTTTAGACATTAGAAAATCAAGCTAGGGCAGCAAAAGATGAGGCACCTTTACCTGAAGAAGATATCAATAAAGTGTTTAGACCATTACCTGTTCCACCCAGATTACCGCCAATGCTGATGGCCACACAAGTAGATACGTATGCTGAAGAAATTGCTAAATTTTCCACTCAATCATTGGCTAAATTATACATGACCAAAGCAATGAATACTAATAACTAAAATTCTTGTTGAATTCATATTATATTATAATACTGAAAAATAAAAATAAAAACTTGTTTTTGTCATAATAATTCAAATTTAAATCGCTTATTTATTATTTTATATAATTCTGTATTTTAAAATTTAAGTTGAAAAACTTAAAATTCTATTATATTAAAAGAATTTAAATAACCTTTTAGTTATTAGAAAAATTATTTCTTTAATAATTAGATTAGTTCAAATCTAAATATAAAATATGGAAAAAAATAATTTGTTACTCAACTTAGGCTCTCAGATCTAGAATATATATGCACTAAAAAGTTTCTTTGAACTGAATTTTAATTTTAGTTATTGTGACTAGGCATATAACAATTATGTATAGATAATATTCTATCTATATTCAATGATATTTTAAACAATATTTACAGTAACCAATTATAGTTTTTAGAGAAAGTTAACTTATTGTTTTGATATATTTTTTTTTTACTATGAAAATTTTCAAATTAAAGCGTTAATTGAAAAAATTATATTTAATTAAAAATTTGTTGTTAATCACATAAAAACATTAAGAGTCATTTTTAAATTGATATAAAATTTAATTATTATTTGTTTAAGAATATACTTCAATCACAAAATTTTCATATTCAATCTGTCCAATGTTCACAAAAGTATTTTATTCATTAGTATTGTAATATGTTGTAACATGATTAACTAAAATTCTGTTAGTGTTGTTCAATTGATAAGGGTTCATCTTTGTCAATAATTTTTGTCTTGAAGAAAGAGTTTAATGTCACACTAAAAAATTGTTGACCCTCTTATAACTTGTCGTTTATTTATATCGCCCACTTATTTTAATTCAAATTTACGACCATGACACTTAAAATATTTTGAAAATTATTATTCGTGTCTAAACCTAGGAATGGCGTAATTACAAAGTTGCACGGCAACCATTGACAGATCCAAGTGTTACAAAAATGTATTTGTGCGATTCCAACAAATATACAATAACTCAAATGATATTATATAGTCGTAGGAAAGTTTTTGTTTTAAATAGAATACTTTAAAAAATGTGTGCATATCAATGTTTTCTACGTACAATTTTTCTAAAAAATTGTTTTTGTAAACAACTGAGTTCGATATTTATTATTATTCATAATTCTTCATTGATTGGATTATTATAAAACGGTATATTAATTCATCTTGACAAAACATATTAATTTTTTTAAGACGTCATTTATGTCCAGCATCATAAAATATAAAGCTCATATTGGACAGAAGATCACAAAAACACTAATTGCTTTCTAAATGAATTAAAATATATTGCCCTAATTAAACTACTGAAAGCAAGGACATAATTAAGAATAAATAAAGAAGATAGATCATCAAAAACGTTTTAATGGTGAAGAAAATTTTTATTATAAATACCTAATATTATTAGGTATTTAATATAATTAATAATATTAAGTAGTTGGGGGCACTGGACAAGTTTTTTTTTGTAAATAATAAATAATTTCACGGATATATACGTGAAATTATTTATTATTTCACGTATATATCCGTGAATAATTTTAAGATTCATAAAATTGTTGACGAGCAATATAAAATTTATCATTAGTTCTTTAAATTCAATTCAAATACAGATAAGCAAAAAATGCATTAATTATTGTTTACAGCTAAGTGTTTTTATCTATTATATTTAAAAAAAACATAAAAATAAAAAAAGATCTTTGTAGTTAATACTAATATAAAGAAAATGTCTTAAAATCAATATTTACCACAATATTACATTTAAAATAATGTATTATTTCAATTCTATAAGAATTTACTTAAAGGAAATGAAACATTTTTAATGTCTAAGAAAAATTACATAAACATATGAGGAAGTCGAAAAGTAACATAAGGCATTTACGTGTGAATTTCTTAATGTGCTATCCCTTCAATAACGTCCAATGATTGTGATAATTTCGTAATTTATGCAATTTATTACATATTAAAAATATATAGTATGGATAATACCATTAGCACGATAAGATTTGAAAGATCATTATGAATGAAATGATTCATTTACTTTATGAAAACATACTAGCTATTAAAATCTATAATAATAATTATTATTATAAAATATAAACGAGAAATTAAAATAAACCAATAATTAGTTGATTTTTATTTCTCGTGTAATAAAAATGATTCATATCCTTACTGACTATTTTTAGTGAAAAAACGATTTTATGTACTTTAAAGAACCAAGAATTGGAGGTTCAAAATATAGCTGAGCGTTTACTTTTTGAAAATAAGTTTACCGAGAATGTGACCAATTTATAAAATAAATGTCATGCATATCCGCAATCACGTTAAAATTGTAAGACTGAGTAAAAATGCATCTATTTTCAATTACTGTTTATCTTTAATATAATAAATACAGAACAATAAGATTGTTTAATGATATTTTAAAGTAATTTGTAATTCATTTTTAAATATAAGCTAATTTAATTTAAAGTATATTTTGTAAATTTTTGATGTGTACCTAATTTTTTCATTTTTATATTTTGTGTTGATAATAAATACAATAAATATAATTGGAATATATAAAAAAAATGTACATATATAGATACTTAGTCACACAATGTCGTTGTCTATTTATTTTCCCTATCATTACTATGTTGTGTAATTTTTTAATAGCGGAAGGATGAGGCTCTTTATTTTTTATTATCACCTACTCTTGTTAGCGCAAAAGTCACATAATGTTTATAGCAATTATAAAACTTGAAAATCTAAGGGGCCTCCTCGGTATTTGCTATAGTTTATGTTTATACATATTTCAATATGCTCTTGAGATGTTCAACATGAAGATAAATAATTGTATGCATAATAATCATTTTTATAGTGTAATGTTGAACCAAAAGTACATAAAGTAAACATTTTTTCTGTAAAGTAATCCATCAGATAGAAACCTAATATTTTTTACTTATATATATATATATATATATATACATTAAACTGTGTTGATAACCTTTAGGTTTATCAATTCAGTAAAACTTTTAGAGTGAAAATCATTTCGGATAATAATCATTGATTAATGATAATAATATATAGTAACAAGTGGATAAATATTGTTTTCAATAATAGTGTTTAATTGTTTAATTGGCGGAGTATGCCCCAGCAGTAATTGTAATAGTATGTCGCCACCGGTTTGTTGATGGTGTGATTGAGCGTATTGCGGCTGGGGTCGAGGAAGCGCGTGCGCATATATTTAACTTAACTATAGGGGCGTAGACCCTGCGCAACATTATAATTCGAAATTTGTGTGTGTAATACCCATAGTGTTTCACAAATCGAAGAGGTAACCAGCTGCACTAGGCCCTGTGTTCTTTACGAGTATTAACATTTGAACAGCAGCAGCACCTCCAGCGACTAGCGGCAGAAGCAGCAGCACCAGCCACCGGCAGCAGCGCCCCACGAGCCTGTAATGATTTTCTAAAATGGCGTCACATGACAATTGACATTTCCGGGACTGGCTGTACCGTCATGGTCTCACTTGCACTCAGCCGGTTGTGGGTTTGATTATTATTATATCAGTAATTGTTTTGCTCGCCTACGAAAATTAATTCGTTTGTACTGACCGGCGATTGCCGTGCAGTTGTAAAGTAGAACGCGTTATCTGCACAGTCAGGTATTAGTGGTGGTAAATTGAAGTAGTATTCAGTGTTATCGTTTGCGTTCGCTCCGTTTTGTGTGTAGGCGGCAGGTACTTGACGGTGACCAAAAACAATAGAGGAGACAGTGAGTTCAAATGACATTTTCATCGTTTTCTTGACACTTACCCGTCGTGTGTGCATGGTGCGCACTAGTTAATAAATTAGACAAACAAATCTTAAAACTAGTAGTGATTGGATTTTCAACAGAACCCATTTGAGCAGATGTTGTTTTTATGCATTCGTAAGTAGTTAAAAACCTGTCATAGAAAGTCCTTTTTTTAGAAATAGTTCTATGATGTGTGAAAATAGAATTTTTTGTAGATACTTACATTCTGTTAATTTAAATTAAATTTTGAAATTTATGCTGTTCAATTCTTATTTCTTCATTTTTCTTATTTCATTTCTTCTTCAGTTTTAAATTAATATTTTTAATATTTTTAATATTGTTTTAGTTTTAAATAAAAAATTCTTTTGTAAGTAAATACATTAGTAATGAATTATATAAGACACCAAATCTCCTAGATATTAAACATTACATTTTAATGAGTAGTTTAAATAATAATGATAATTTAAATATTTTTAAATTTGTATTATGTTTAATCGGGATTAGATTGAAACTTCAAAATTAACATGGACTCCATTTTAATCTGTTTACTTTTAAAATCAGTTTGATATTAAAATATATTATTGTCTAATTGTCTAAATTTTATTGAGTTTTTAAAATTAAGTAATGATTGTGACCTCTGTATTTAATATATTTTTTTAAATTTAGATTTGTAAATATAATCCTAAATTTATCAAAAATCTAGTCAATTTTTTAATAGGTTCATATGATAATTGTTTTATTACCTTATTCATCTATATCTGTTCTTGGAATAATGTTAGAATATTGTAATGTATCTCATTAACAAATTAATTGCATTATTTATTGTCTTTAAAAATTAATGATAACAATTAATAATGATAACATAATAATTATTAATAATTGAAATATTACAATAAAATTGTATTGCCAAAAATTTTAATTAGTCAATAATAATTTAAAAATAAGTACTTATTAAGTTACAAGCATTTTAAAACATAAAATAAGTTTGTAACTTAAATGGTGTATACTTTATAAATATATATCAATATGAGCTGTATCCACCTGCACTACATATCCTCTTTAAAATTTTGAAAAATTTAAAAATAAAAAAAAATGTTTTATTTTTAGTAGACACAAGTAATCAAATACATGATTTTTACTTAGTTCAAATCTGTAAAAATTATATTAAAAAATGTAATTCAAAATATTAGCTGAATCAAAAATTATTAAAGATTACAAAAATTAATGGGACATCTTATTATTAATAATTAAGAATTTTTCCTTTATGAGATAACAGAAGTTGTGTTAATTTATTCTAATTTGTAAAACAAGATTTTTAAAAAAATTGTTCATAATCTGTGGTGCTTCTTTATTTAGTCAACAGTGAATTACTTAAAATAAAATATTAATTGAATTGACATGATCTTCCTATCCATCAGACCTTACTATAAAGTCATTTATTTTAATAAACTTAATTAACATAACTCATAGTCTAAATGATGAAATATCATCATAAAATTTCCTTTTTTATATTTCATAATAAATTAATAATAAATACTATTTAAACATTTGTCATAAAATATTAGACATTTTGACAGTGTATATAATAACATAAATTCAAACAATAATAAATCATGTAATACTTGTTTATCATCATTAGAAAATTATTTTGTATATTTCTTAGTGTTTTTTTTTATAATAAATAAATAAATAAATAATAATAAAATTATTATTAGTAGTAACTATTAATTTAAATTTATGTATTTTTTTCTTTTCAGAGACAATATGTAGGTAGATTATTACTCTAGAAACTCTGAACACCTTCATAGCAATTAAGACTATAGAAAAATCTTTAAAATGGCTAGAATGATACAAGAAAATGTTGTTACTTATAAAACACCATTATTGGCACATATTTTTCATTCATTTCCACATTTAAATGTCAGTGGTCATATTGTCAGCTCTGGATTTGCACCACATAGTGCTCTTTATCATGAAGTATGTGTTTAAACTGAATAGTTTAAATTAAATTTTCTCATATTTATAAAATAATTATATTATTTAGTCTCTTGGAATTTTGGGTTCAGTTCCATCAGTTTGGTTGATAATAACATTATTCTTGTTGTTAATATATCTAATGACAAGATGTTGTGACCGAAAACCTCGTCCAAGACATAGTATAGTTGTACTGAAATGGACCTTGGCAATATTTACAGTATTATCTTGGTAATTTAATTATTTATACTATTTTAAAATATAGGTTAACTTATAAGCTGTTCAAATTTTCAGTGGTGCTGTTGGAGTTAGTTTGTATGGCAATGATGATCTGCATAATGGAATCACTCAGTTTATAACATCTACAAAAGCTTTGAATGATATAGTGTTAAGTGTCAAAAATCAGGTAATAATTTTACTTTAAAACAAATAAGTGTTTAAATAACCAATTATTCTTAATTATAAAGACATCTGCTATTGAAATACTGTTGCAAGTTAATATTCATGATAAGCTCAGTGATCTTGGAGATATTATAGATTCCCCAGTTGCTAACCAGACTGCTCGAGGTCAAATTGTAACAGCTTTAAGTACTTTAGTTGGCAATGCAGCATCGACTTTATCCAATATTCGTGGAATTAGTAATTCATTACGTGGTGTTAACCTTACTCCATTTGTTAATAATGTAGAACTAATGGAATCTATCAGGTATTGATTATTTTTATCCAAATATTAATTTTGTATTTTATTTATTAATATTTATTAAATATTTAATATGTTAATTTTTTAGATCGCCAGTAACAATTGCAGTTCTAAGTATTTTATTGGTCTTTTGTTTTATACTATTGTTTGGCGTAGCTAGACATTCGCGTTGTGCTTTGATAATGTAAGTCTTGTTAAAAATTGATTCTTAGATATTAAATAATTCTAAATTAAATTTTATCTTAACTCGTAATAGGTTCTCTGTTTTTGGACTTTTTGCTGTCATTATTTCATGGCTCTCTGCATCTATTTATCTTACTGGAGCAGTTGTAAGATTACTTAAAAAAAAAAAAAAATGAGTTTAAAAAATTTAATTTACTTTTATCATTAAATTATATTTATTTTATAGGCTATGGGTGATTTTTGTATAAATCCTAATGAATGGTTAGAACGTGATTGGGCACCCCCAACTTTTTTAAAACTAGAAATATTAACATTTTACACAACATGTGAAGGTAGTAATAATCCAACTGGCAGCACACGTTCTAATCCTTTTGGATTAGCTATTCGACAAGCATCATCATCTGTTGATGCTACTAATTATCAACTAGAAATTGTTACACGTCTTGCTAAAACATTGTATCCTACTTCTAATACAAGAGAAGACATGCCAATATTGTTAAATAGAATGAGAATGGATGTTGAATCAGCAGCTAGAATGGTGTCTGCTTTACCAGCATCACTTGAATGTCGTCAAGTACATCTTCATTATAATCGAGCCTTACACGCTTCTTGTGATCTTGCATTGTATGAAAATATTCTAATTATATTTATTTTGTTAAAATTATACCTTCTTAAACTTGCAAAATTAATTAATTAATTATTTTTAAGATTTGGATTAGCCTTAATGTTGTTGGCAAGTGTGATATCTGGATTATTCTTTACTATTCTCGTATGGCTTGATTTCCATACTTGGATTTATATTAGAAAAAAGTAAGACATGAACTTTTTTTTATTAGTGTAACATATTCATAAAATTCTATACATTTCTGTAATGAGAATTATTTTAATAATTTATTACATAAATATTAATTGTTAATATTGAATTATTTTCATAATAGACAAGATTATGTAAAAACTGAAGAGAGAGATCCTTTCTTAGGACGACCTGGTTCAACAGCTAGCAGTTCTCAATCTCATGGTCATCAGATGTCAACATTAACGAGAAACCAAGGGTTGTACTACTACCCATTGTTTATTTCGCATCCAACGCCTGCTCAGCACGCTCAAAACTGCTCAGCATGACTGTTTGTGTTTTTGTTTTGATATTTTTGGTATCATATTACATCCAATTTTCATTTATCTTAATTCTCACGAATTAAAAAATTCAATTCAATTAACATTTATATCCCTCGAAATTCTTTAAAATTTGCTTAGGAATCATAAATATTGAAATTCTTTGATACATATTGGGATATTAATTTTAAATTAAAATTTAAGCTTCATGATATCAGTTTTATTTTATAAGTTATATAAAAAAAAGTTATACTACTTGTAGAAGTAATAACTATAGACATGAATTTTTATTAAACTATTGCATGGCTTGATTTTATAATAAACATTCAAACCTTAATAATTTTTGATATTAAAATAATTTTTTTTATATTAATAATACTTGTTAACAATACTACTTAATAACACTTCTGGTAAATTTTACACTTAAAATTTCTACTTTTATTTTTGAAGACAATAATTATTTTGCATGCATATTTGAATGATTTTATTTTATGTTAAATAATTAAAATATATATAAATCTAGTAGATAACTATTTTTTAGCTTAAATTTGTGCATGTATTTTAATCTATCTATGTATATTTAATTGTTTTGAAGTGATGCTGGGATAGGAGTATTTAATATTTATTTATTTCATAATTTATTAGTTGCTTATTTTTTTAAATATGGCAGTAACAATACTTCAATTAATTAACAATTTAATATAATGGTTGTATTATTAATATAAATAAAGCCTTGAATTCATGTGTTATAGAAAAACTAAGTTTATTTTTATAAAATAACTTATTTTTATTAAAAAAAATATGAAATTATATTTAATTTTAAAAAATATATATGTAAAAAGCAATTAAATGTAGAACTTTATTAATGCGAAGAAATAAAAATTAAAGTTACTTAAATAAATGAAATACAACCACTTTTAAAGCAGAATTTGTTTTAAAATACATACAATATTTTAAATATAATTCTATCATCTATGTTTTTATCGATATTTTGTTTTTTTACTAAGGGTTTTTTTTACTTATCACTAACAAAAATCATGTTAAAAGTGAGCCAAGTAATGAAATTATATAACAATAATTTACATTCAAATTAATACAATCTATACAAAAATAATACAGTTAAGTTTTCAAAAATGTTACATCAAAAGGTGTGTAACATTCATGATTTATCAGAGTATTTAAAATGTATTCCATATTAAATAACTTGGTAAACTTTTAATGATTTAAATTCTTGAATTATTATGTTTGAAATACTAAAATGTAAATAACAAACTCATGAAGTTTATAAATTTTGTTTAATTAAATTTTTACATGGTAGTAAATTCTATATATCAAGTATTTAACCAAAAATATACATTTTTTATTTTATAAGTTAAAAAATTATTTATGAAATGTTAATTTTTGGAAGTATTCTTTGTCATTNTGAAATTTTGAAAACTATAGTATGTTAATATTTATTTTAAATAAGTTAAAAAATTATTTATGAAATGTTAATTTTTGGAAGTATTCTTTGTCATTGTTGATCTATCATATAATTTCAGTTTAATTTTTGATGGTTCCTAGAGTTATTTTTTAATTTACTTTAAATTGCTAATTATTAACTTGAAATTGTTTTTTATTTCAAGACCAAGAGATGAATATGGAATGGGTAGTGGTATATCGACATTGAATGGCCGGAATGGTGGCTACTTACATGAAGGTGGATCATCTAAAGTTGGTCCTCAATATGCCACCCTAAATCGAAAATTCCGTACTTTAGAACATCCAGCTGCACGTGGTGTTCCACATCCACCGCCATCATTTCGTGGTGCCCCTTCATATTCAAATACTTTAGGATATATGCGTAAAAATAATCAACCTAATGATCGTCAATATTCAACATTAAGTCGTAAATGCAAAACATTAGAGTCATCAGATTTTTACTGAAATGAGCCGACCTCTGTTGATCAAACAACAATATCAACAATTAGTGGTAGTTCACTATCAACATTTGCAAAACCAGTACTTGTACCTGAATCTTCCTATCAGATAACAGAGTTATAATTTATTAGTTATCTAATTTTAAAAAGTTCTAAAGGAACTTAAAATTGGAGTAATTTGAATTCGAGTGTAGATTATTGAAAAACAGTTTAGATGTTAAGCACATACATTATATTATATGTTACTTTGAAGATACTGATGTTTCTATTTTATAATAACTATTGTTATTATTTTTATGTTATTACTTTTTGTCTTGTTATTAAAAACACACAATTTTTTGCACTTAATATTTGCAATGTTAATATTGAAACCTATTTACTTCATAATCACTTGTATTGCTTTCAAAATTAATGACAGTATCTAGTCATTTTTTAATTTTTTTTGTGCTTGAAACATCTTTTTAAATCATAGTCTAGTCAATGATATCTAACTCGTTTTCATTTTTCGTGTTTTACTGGTAAATTTAAATACTCAAAAAGTTTTATTGTATTTTTACAACAATATTAAATGTTGATTAACAGAGGTCGTCTTATAATTGGATAGTATAATTGGTTCCTTCGTTTTTAAGCATAAGTTACTATTAAAGTTCATTATTTATTTGAATTTTATAATTCAATATTATATAAGATCAAAAATGTATGTTAAATGTAAATAAATAAATAGGGACAAAAAAGATATATAGCTGTAATTATTTTTTACATTTCTGTCATATTTGTTTTTTGCTCTAGTATAATAGGTCAACTAGAGTTGGTTAAAGTATTTATAAAAAAATATTGTTCATTTTAACACAAATCTATTTTAATAATTTGTATCTTTATAATATACTTAATGAAGAATAAAAACAATTTCCCTCCCTAATTTTAGTATCAAGTTACAAAAATATTTATTTAGTTATAAACTACTTATTATCATATTAAAAATATTCATTGCCTTTATTGTATAAATATTATGGCTATTTTTTATATATATATGAATTGTACAATAATTGGTTAGTAGTACTTTTTAATTAATCGCTCATTGCAATAAACATATATGATATTGTTTATTGTTGAAACTGTTCTTTTGCCAAATTTTAATGCTAATATTTAATTGTGATGTAAATAGAAAATAAAAACATCAGCAGTTGACATTTATATTTCAAATTATATAAAGTTAATGATTGAAAGAGATATCTTAAATCACTATGTATGTATGTCGATATTAATCTTATCAAGATGTAGTTCTTTTCTTTAAGTAAAAATGTTAGATGCCAATTTTAATAATTAAAATGGCAGACTTATGATTTGTATTAAATTTGTTGTCATTACTATTAAATTTATTTTCATTTAGGATTAGGAAATATAATTTTAATTTCTTTCTATTGGAGCTCATTTTAAGAGATAAGTAACCATATTAAATGAGACATAATGTTGACATATTTTATACTTTTATAAGGCTATTTGATTTGTGGTTGTAATACATTTTTTGTTTATTTAAACTTATATAAACTAATACATTTTAGATATGTACAGCATTTAATAATTACCTAAGACTGAACGAGACTGTTGTATTTGTTTTTCCTTTAGTATATGTTATAATTTTTACTCAAAATTACTCTCGTCTTAGTCTTCTGCCCTTTAATATATTTATAATAATTATAAAATAACTGTTAGTACAAAACAAGAATACTTGTAAATATTCTGTCTGTGTACTTTAAAAAAAATTATCTCTTTTTGTACTGCCAACTCTTGTTCATCTTTTGGCGATTAACTTTTTTTGTACATTCAAACTAATTTAGAAATTAAAATAAATATTAAAAAATAAACATAGAATATAAGTTATAAAAGTATGTTCATTTATTATGTACTTTATTTATCTTATGTACCTAATATTTCTAACACCTGTTTGTCGATACAAGGTCACTATGAAAAATAAGTATTGTTTTAGTGTAACACATGTACCATTTGGGACTACCTTGCATTAGTTATTTGTATTTAAACATAGTATGTATTACACCAAGTCGTTCTGTTTTTGGTGTGCTTTTTTATTTGAACTACTGCAATTACAAACAATCAAGTGAGATTTTGATTTTAATATTTCGTAGTTATTGTTTTTATGAAACCTCTAATTTTTATCCATCTCTGTAAAACAAAAGGCTTTGTATTAATTAATTAAATTTTTCTTAAAAAAATTAATTTATTTTTAAAATTCTTGCATCTGATTTTGAAATTAAAACTATAAGTAACTTGATTAGTAGGATGACAATATTATATTAAGGAAATTATATTTGTGTTTAAGAAGAAGTTATTATTATACAAAATGCTGTATATAATATCATATTTGGCCCTTAATTAACTTTTGGATTCGACTAACAAAGCTATTTACAAGATGGAACTTAAAATTAATAAATGCATAAATTGCTATATTATTCAGTAAAATTTTGAGAGAAAATTTTACTGAATAATATAGCAATTTATTACATAGTGATTTATGTGTAAATTTTTTAAAGTTGGTCAAATAAAATTAAGTCGTTAAAAATAATATTTATTACTCAGGATAATTTCATGTGTTATTATCTAGAAAATTGATAATATTTAGTACGTAGTTTACTGAGTATAATCATTAATGAACATTTAGATCGCACAAAAATTGTGAATAAATATTAATTGCTAATTAGAATTATTTAAAGTTGATTTTAAATAACTTTAATTTTGACAATACATAGGTTAAAAGAGATAAAGAGAAAATAATGTTTTATACATTTTAAAAAGGTATATGCCATGCGAATATTTTGCTTCTACTAATAATCCTATATTTTTTAATGACCTACGTTATTGTTTATTGACTCTTAACTCTTTATTAGCGCTATTAAGATTACAAGTACAAAAGAAAATATTTAAGGGAGGTGATTAAAATGATTCTCAAAATTATCTAAAGTAAATATTTAATAATAAGCGCAACTAAATTAACATTTGGGTGCTAAATTAATTTCTTTCTATCTTATTATTTATTTTTAATAACAATATATTTAAATTTCTAAATTTTTGGTAGTACTAATTTGGATTATAGGGGTACTAAGCAACTCTCAAATTGCATCAATGAATTTAAGGCCAAATAACTAAAAGCTCTTAACTTCCTTCAAAGAAAATTGAAACTTACTTCAATTTCAGAGATATATAGATAAAAAAAACCATTTTTAACGAGAATAAATCGCTTTTAGATGAAAAATTCACTGATATTTATTATAAAATTAATAAGTTATTGATTTATCCTTAACTAAAAAAATTTCAGTGTTAAAAGATTGATAAATAAATTTTGAATTTATTCAATAATTTGTTTTTAAAGAGATAAAACCAGTTAAAAACATGTTTTAATTTAAAATATTATTAAATATAAGTTAATTATGAATTATTATTATAAATATTAGCTTCATTATTAAATATTTTATGTTATTGATTTAAAATAATAGATCTTCAGAAACTTGTGATAGATTGTTTACTAATGATTTATCGCCAGAGCAAATTCTTAGATGGTTGACGGATCCATGTCGTTATGATAAAACCGTTGCGCCAAAAAAATCAGCTCCTAACCTTCCTATTGTAATTTCCACTAAGATTCATGTTTATTATATGACATCTGATTACTCTCGGAATACAGTAAGTTTAGAAAAGTAAATTATTTTTTAGCAAACCTTGAATTATATTAAAAGCATAAATCTGACTTTTAAGGATTTCAAAGTTTGTTTGCTTTTGCAATTTCGATGGAGAGATATTCGGTTGAGTTATGGTTATTTAACATTGAATGACGTTACAGAAGTGATAAGTCGAAGAATTATTCTTGAGCGAATTTGGATTCCTAACATCTACATAACAAACGAAAGACATTCATTAACGCTTGCGGATTTTACTGATGACTTGTCAGTCACTGTGTTGCCTGATGGATATGTCATGTTTGCAGTCAGGTATATAACTTACATTTTTGATTGCTAAGAAAATTTCAATTATAAAGATTCGTCGTAGTTTTGTTTAATTGTAATTCTTTAATTTAAAAAAAAATTATTTTTAATTGTGAAAACGACGTATGCGACGTCTAGAAATTTCTGCCTGGAGATTAAACATTTTTTACCCTCCCTCATATAACTGCCACTGGTTACACAACACTTCATCGCCTGAGAATGAAAAGGCTCTAATGCAAGATCGATGATTTTTCAGTAAACTCTTTTTAAAAATAAAAGTATTGTTTCGCGAACAATGATTTGATAAAATATGATTTAAAAATACTTTGATACTGATTGTTTAAACTGTAATTTTGAATTATGAAAGGAAAAACACTGATTTTATATCTAAATAATTTGTAATATAATTCAGTTAAAATAAATTACAATGACAATATTCATACTCACAAGTTTCATTAAAAATATAAAATGTGTACAATTTGATGTGATAAAATAAACGAAGCTTATTATTTAATTTTACATTTTTTACGTAATAATTAATCGAGACAAAAATTATAATAAAGAAAATTTATCCTAGATAATTTGTTTTACCAATTTTAACTGCAATATTGTAATTAGCTAAACGCACTCTCACTCTATTGTTTTCTAAGCCCATCCTCTTAACAATGTAGACAATTATTATCAACAATTAAAAGAAAAATACTACTTACAATTCTTTTAAATGCAAATACGCAACACCATAACTCCAAATACTAAAGTTTACTTGACTTCCATCAAATAAACCGCAAATTCCACAATGACACCAATGAATTTGCTAAATTTAGTATTATAAATATCATATACTAAAAAATAGCTCAATTGAATGTAACTTAAAATAGCCAAAACATGTTAATGTATGGAACATAATAAAAACCAAGAACGATAATTACTCCTGATGATCAACAATCCTCTCAGAATAAATCATACTGATTCTGATAAAAAAATTTGGTTTTCCAAATAAACTCACAACAATCATTACAAACGACTTTGTCCAACATACAATACGAATATGTGTTGGCCATGTTCACATGACAAATTAAATAGAAACTAACAGTTTTAAATTTAGGTTCTAAAAAGAAGTATATATAACGGCAAAAAATCACAATCACAAGTCTCCCTTACTGTAGAACAGGAAGCTGACCGAGCCTGTGCAGTTACTTTGTCTTTCCACACGTAACAAATATTGCACAGTATATGAAATTTTTTATTTAAATTTTAAATTTATTTAAATTAACTCACTATATAATGAGTGTAACTATTTTATCTAGAAATTAAAATGCGTAGTTATGTTTTTGATGTATTTNACGTAACAAATATTGCACAGTATATGAAATTTTTTATTTAAATTTTAAATTTATTTAAAAGTTTTTATTTAAATTAACTCACTATATAATGAGTGTAACTATTTTATCTAGAAATTAAAATGCGTAGTTATGTTTTTGATGTATTTATTAAAATATTGTTTTCAAAAAAATTGCGTTAGAACCATTTTATTCTGAGACGACGACTTCATAAATTTCTGGTAAGAAATTTAACGTTATACATTTTAATAAAGTGGTAACCTCCCACAAATTTGTGGGATTAAAATACCGTACCTTACAACTAATAAAGTATGATGTCCAAGCCACTGCTCATCGTTGTATTATCCACAATAGAGTAACTGTTGTCTTGCAAACGAAAAATCATTGTGGTTGTAGAAAAATCAACGTATCTAAAAACAATTTTGTATCTATAAATTACTTATAAGAAATTGAATGTATTTATTCATTTATTGAACTAAATGTGTATTTTGGGAATGAATTATATTCAATTAAAACAAGTTGTAATATTAATACAGAAGATTTATTGCAGATTAAAGACATCCGTATTTTGTTGGTTGAAACTTGGAAGATTTCCATTCGATCATCAGCAATGTCACCTCATTCTGGAAAGCTGTAAGAACTATTTAAGTCTTTATTTAAAGATGCGTGTCAATTTATTAAAACTACTGTGATATTACTAATAATTTTATGGTATTATTGTAAGAGGGTCTTTTTTTTAGTGAAGTAAAAATAATTTTTATAAATTAAGAATTTTCATCTCCTAATTAAACATCAGAAAATTAATGCTCATTTAACTATAGCGAATATTTTTAAATACACTAATTCTGATATTTTATTCGAATTAACAGGGAGATATGATATAAGCCAATTAACTTTGAAATGGGAAATGATGTCACCGGTAACCGTAACTGTTAGAGATTCTTGGGTACCATATCTTACTGAGTACCAACTACTGAAAGTCACACCGCATGATGCTAATTATTATACAGAACCAATGGCCCTTAATTCGTATTCTTGTCAGTATAATTATTTAAGAGCATTTATTGCTGTTTTAAACGTTATTGGTACAAAAGGAAATAGAACAATTTTCTTTGTTGCAGCATATCAATATTCATCTTTGACTCTAACATTTTTATTAGTCAGAGAGTATGGATACCATATTATGGATTATTATTTACCCAGTGTGCTTTTTGTAATACTTTCTTGGGTTTCATTTTGGATGACCCCAGAGGCAGCACCTCCTCGTGTATTATTAGGTAAGTTTTCTTTAAAATATAATGATTTTTTTTTAACTATGTAACTGTTACACATCTAAATCTTGTATATTTTACGCATAAACATTATGTTGTAGGGACCAGCACAATGCTTACCTACTTTCAATTGGGTGTTGAGACGGGTTCACAGTTGCCAAATGTGTCATTGATTCGATCTAATGACGTGTGGTTCATTGTTTGCACTGCATTCATATTTCTTTCTTTAGTAGAATTTGCATTAGTGAATACTATTTGGCGATATGGGTAAGAGTTAAATAAAATTAAAATCTATTATTTTTTTTTTACTATGGAAAAATTATTGTGAACTTTAAATGAATTTAAAATTATTATTTCAGACAGAAAACTGCTAAAATAAAAAGCAAATCTGTCAAGCAAATGTTAAAATGTTCTATGAATATCACAGAAATAGCAAAAGGAAAAAAATCCTATAATTCAGACAACGGTTCGTTTTTAAATCAAAGACGGACAAAAGTAAATACCACATTTTCATCACGTTTTTGTATAGAACCTAAGACTGACTAAGACATCTGGTTTTCTCTTTGTATAAATTGTTCATTTTGAACGCGATTGAGCGACCAGATGTTACAAAGACCAGAGGGTGAAAATGAAAAAATTATTTTAAATAATATTGTGTACTATATCTGAAGCAAACGCGTTTAAACATTTTAGTTTTATTATAATTTATGTTTCAGTTACACTAATATTTATATATAAGGATTTGATATTAACAATCGTAACATTCAAAAAGATTTGAAATTTAACGGATATATACAGTTGATTTATTTATGAAGTGGCCAATGGTAGCTTGAGTTTTTGTAATGTGCCATTTCATAAATGTATATATTAGAGGTTCTTACATTTATTTAACAAGTTTGAATTATTTATGATAAAAGTTGTGCATAAAATTAGAACTATTCGTTTTTAACTTATTTTAAACTAGTAATTTTTAATGCGTATTTTTAAAAGTCTCTTGAAAATTTATTATTTAGATAAAATAAAAAACATATTTAAATCTTATTTCAAGTCAGTGGTTCTGTCTTGAGTATAACCTTTTTAGTTTTGATACTACACTGAAAAGGTATTGTTTTCATTATGATGTGATTTTGTTTATGTCTGCTCATAAAAATTTTCTTTTTTTACTGAATCGATTTTGTTGATTTATGCTTCAAAAAAGAACAAATTTAATTAAATTGATCCTAATGTCTAAAAGAATTGAAAAAAAAAAAAATTTCGAAATTAGGCAACCATTGAAAATGACAATGATTTCTTTTTTACATTTCAAATTTGCTATAATTTTCTTAAAATTTCGACAATTTAAATGAAATTTTTATCATGCATACTAGTTATTATTTTTTTTATAAGTTTTTAATGAAAATTCAAGTGAAAAAATAAGTACAGAAAGTGTTTAAAGAGATAACCCACTCATAAATTTTTTTAAGCATACTTGCATTGAAGTGTTTTATAATAGTGATGTTGATTACTGTCAGATATCAATCTATACTGAAGGCTACTGTGCCAGATCGTCACTATGTTAAATCACGAATGCACTTAATTTTTTTTTGCACGTCAAGTATATTTTTTTGGAAAAAAAACCAAAATATGTAAATAATTATTAAATTAATAATAATTATATATAATATTAAACATTTTTAGAATGCAACAGTGTTAAATTCTGAACTTCCATATTCAATGGAAATGAAAGCAATGGGCAGAGTAAAATTTAAAGTTTCTAAAGAAACTAACCGACAGCTCAATGGAGGTGTAAATATAACTAGTCAACAAATAGCTGTTTGGATTGATGAAAAATGTAGAATTGTGTTTCCAGTAGCATTTGTTTTATTTAACACGATATATTGGAGTATTCTGTGGGTGTAATGAAGTCAATATATTTTAATATTCGAGTCTCTTAGATGTGTATTCGAAAATGTGTTAAAATATTATACAGGGTGTTCAGTAAGTCAGGAAACGGGTTTCTATTGTTCTCATTGTTACAATCAATGAGAACAATAGAAACCCGTTTCCTGACTTACTGAACACCCTGTATGTATTGTTATAGAAAAATAAATCATAATAGAAATATTGAATAGTAAAAATTATTCAAATATTTTTATTAAATTAAGTGTTAATTTATATAATTTTAAGTCATTATTTTTACAAATATTTTTAAAATTATTGGAATAAAAATAATATAATTCAAAATTATGTTTAAAAATAAGAAGTTTAAACCAAAACCTTATACGTGGCATCTAAAATTATAATTAATTAAATATTTAAAATCATAAACACTTGTGTAAAAATCTAGATTAATATAATAATTGTAATAATTTGAGTAAATTAAAATTAAATAACATGAAATGGATATCATTATATTGCAAAAACATAATGTTACATTACATAGAAATCAATGGTAATAATTAGTTTTATTTATAATAATAAACGAGTAGAATTTTTTTTTAATTATTATAATTTATTACTAAGATAGCAGTCTTAAAAAATTCTATTTTTTTTTATAAAACGTAAGACTAACTAATAAAGTATAAGTAATAAGTATGTACACAATATTTAAATTTCAAATGGTAAACAAAACCTTTTCACATTAAAAGAATAGAAATAATTATTGTCATTAAAAATACTGTTAAATGTACCCTGTAATTTTTTTCAAATATTTTATCACAGTCTGATTGAACAATAGTTTGTCTGCAATATGGTATTGAACTAATTGAGCAGTTTTCTTTCATTTTTTAAATTTGTAATAAAATTATTAATATATGTATATAATTAAATAATCTAGTTCTTTATACTATCATCAATAGATAAATTATCACTTGCACTAAAAGGTGTTCCGTCAAAATTTCTTAAATGAATCTGAAAAAAAAATGGTTTATTATTTAGGAATGCTCGCTGTACTTAAAAAATGTTGCACTAATTTTTTTTTATTAGTAAATGAAAAAAATTTTAGATATGTTAAATACAGGTGGCCCACCACTCACTGGCAACTTAAATAACTTTTGATCCAGTTAATATTTTTAGCTGATTTTTTTTTTTAATAATAGTTATACGTTAGGTCTATAGCTATATCTCAATAATTAATTTTTTTTACATTTTATTAAAAATATTAATTATTTTTAAATTTTAAATAAAATGTAAAAAAAAAATCTAAGATAGATATTTTGTAGAGTAGAATTTAAGAAAAATTTTAGTAAAAAAATATCTTATTAATATTCAGTAGTAAATATTATGTAGCGTTTTAAAGTTTGTGAAAATTTGAATTTTCATGTATTATTTTATGGTATTAAACATTGAAATACGTATTGAGAAAAGGACAGAAGAAAACGCTATCTTTTCATGATTACTGTATATACATATGATGATAATGTGTATACATTACAAAATTGGCATTAATACCACGATAAGAAATTAGATAAGGCAATTATTACTTATCACTCTCATTTAAAAGTATATTGAAAAGAGAGCGTTTTCTTCTGTCCTTTTCTCAATACGTATTTCATAATAATAAATAATAACGTATAACTATTATTTAAAAAAAAATCAGCTAAAAATATTAACTGGATCAAAAGTTATTTAAGTTGTCAGTGAGTGGTGGGCCACCCTGTATATGTGATAAGTTTTTTATTTAGTCAGATTAGTTTATATCAGTTATTATAAAATCTTATTATATCAGTTATTTGTTCGGCGACGCTCTCTTCGTGAGGTCGTTGGACGGTGGTTTGGTGTAAAAATGCATATACTTGTCAATGAATTTCGTGTGTAATATTTGTATTTAATTAATTGAAATGATCGACTACGAGAGGTGTTTAACAGATCTAGTAAAATTTCTTATTTAGCAAAGAAGATAACTGGCGTAACCATGAGGGGATTGGGTGTCTAACCCCCATGAAAAATCTTATGTATATCCGCCTCAAAATTAAACCCTTATTATTATACTAAAGGTGATTTCACAAGGGAATAGTTTACCAAAACTCTTTTGGTAAATTGAAATTACCGCCAGAGTTAATTTTAGATAATATACTACGAATGCCAAGTATATTACTGATAATTATCAATTAAATTGAGTATCAGTTTATGTGTAAATGATACGGACTATGAACATAATATTTTTTCATTACTATTTAATTTTCTGCGATTCATAGAAAAATTCAGGGAATCGAACCAAAATATTTTTTTTGAATGAATTAAAATAAATGAAAATAGAGTTAGGGTTCTAGTTCATGACAGTTTTTATAAAATATCAATTTTGGGGTTTTAGTTTCGATAAAAATAAAGGTTTTATAGGTATTTATCGGTTAGATTAGATACGAGGCCTTGAAAAAGTTATTATCGAGACGTCTAAATGTAGGAATTTAATATTGAAAAAATGTTAAATTTAATCTAATATAATTATTAGCATATTACCTGTAAATGTAAGTTAACTTCATCGCTACGACTAAGATATGGAAAGTTACCCCCAGTCTTAAGTTGTGCTAGTTTGGCTTGTGGATACTCTTTATAGATATTTTCTCTAACTGGTGAACCTAAGGCATAATTATCAAATACATCCATAATTGTAACAGCTTTTAACCCTCTCATTAAATATGTGTTTACACGACTATTCAAACAATTAATAGTTAATCGTGATGCGAGATCTGATTGTGATAGTGATTCTATCTAAAATATTTACATGTAAATGTATTTATACACGTCGATATAATATAATTTTTATACTACTAAAAAAAAAAAAAATACTTACAACTTCAACCATAAAATCTAAAGAGTCTGCTATTTGACGATCATGGTAGGCTTCTTTGGTAGAAAAATTGGATAACACCATCTTTTTTAAAATAACCGAAGGAAAAATCCAAAATCTAAAATTATTTAAAATTACATTATGTGTAACTTAAAAATAAATATAAATTAAATATAAGTAAATGGATACATACTTTTTTGTTGTTTAATCTAACAAACAAAAATCAAAGTGAAATTAATTATTTATTAAAATTTTAATTTTAATATCTCCCTACTCAGTACAGCGGAGAACTTCCCTCGCACCACCTGGAACCTCAGCGGCACGGGGTGACCAAAAATAAGAAGTACTAGGCCGGGAACAGAGTACAATCCTTTGCTTGTAAGGGTCATGCGTGCATCGGAATAACGCAAAACCACAGTGTCCCCCAACCTTAGAAATCAAGCTCAACCGAGTCCGACATCACGAATCTGGCATCCAAAGTCGACAGTATGGGCTCCCAGATTACCCGGTTTACTAGTGTTAGTAAGACAACATTAGACTGGTCACGGTCGACGAAAACGCTTATCTATTTCCGAATGCCAAGCGGAAGTTTATGAGAACTTTAGATTTGGTAGGACTGCTAGGACCTCCAACCGGTTCAACTAGATTCCTGGAATAGGGATATGAAGCGCCCACCCCCAGCTCTAGCGATAAACTTCAACAAATAACTAGGTTACCCACAAAAAAAGTAAACAACATGCATACATTAATACATATAAAACAAGGTATTAGGATCATGCCCTATTTTTTCCAGTCAAAGGTGGATATAAGGTTTATAGAAGCATTGCCCTATATAAACATTTTCTTTTCTGGATTCGTAATTAGTATCAGTTTAAGATTAATGGTTTTTCTTTGTTAAAAAATATATCGAAATTTTTTTTTTAAATCTTCCATACCGGGTCTATCAAAATTATAAAAATATGAAATAAGAATCACCTTGAACTATAGTCAATCATTAATATGTTTGTCGTAATAGTTTGGAGGTTTACTAGTAAATCTCCATAATTACACAAATAAACTCTGTTATATTAAAAAAAAAAAAATAATAAATATTTAAAATGATTCATTGTTTATTAAACATAATAGTAAATTAAATACATTAACTTATAATCAGTAGGATTATGAAATGTGTTAATTTCTGATCCTATGAGTCATTCAGTATTAGAATTATTTTATGTTTTTTTTTAATAAAAATAAGTACTTACAAAACAGCAGCTTCCTTGTATCTAAATATGGATGTGTCTGTAAATGTGTTGCAAAGAAATAATGATACAACTTTCGGTTGATGTACAATTGTTGAAAACTCTACAAATTTTTGAGCTAAAAATCCACCTAAAAGAAATAGAGTTAAGCTCTAGAGAGAATATAAGCCGATGGGTTATGTTTAATTACGCATGTATATATTTTATTAAATCTGATAATTTTGTATGAAGGTGGAGATTAACTTTTAACTTATTTTAAACCGGATTTTATCTTTTATTTACTTTAACATAATTCATGTGTAATACACAATATCTTTAACTGCATGATATTTTATTTATTTATAAAGAGGAAGTCACTCTTAATTTATGAAACTGTAAAATGATTTCTAAAAAAGGCGATATAAATACAAGGAAATATTTAATTTTTTGGTTAAGGTAAGCGTTTTTTTATGATTAAAAAACTTAAATTTAACCTGAATTTTATTTTAAAAATTAAGTTTTATACTAACTTTACCTATTAATATACATAAATTACTTATATACGAGTTTTTATTTTCTTAAATGATGCTGTCAGAATTTCCATATTAATTATATATATATAAAAAAAAACAAATCTAAGCAAGGTTAGAAACTGAAATAATTTCGGGTTTTGACAATTTTTTTATATTTAGTAAATTAGTACATCTATATTGATTTTGTTAAATGTTATATTAAATGTTTAAAAAACGATTACAGAATCCAAAAATATTATGAGACCGTCTTTAAAATCTTAATTGAACTTAAAATTTGATTTTAAAAGTTTAAAAACCGAAATTCATATATATATATATATTTTTTTTTTTAATATATATATATATGGGTAGATTTTGATTTTAAAACTGTATAAGATCAAACATTAAATTTGATTTAGGTTTTTTAATCGATTTCATAATACCTTTATTTTCTAGATTTCTTAACCTTAAAAATTCTTAAAAAAATTTGATACAGGTTTACTAATTTACTATACATGGTAAAATTTTTTGAAAACATATCATTTCTGTTCCTAGCCCTCAATCTATATGAAATTAGCTATATTAGCTTTGATATTTGTTTAAAGTAATTAACTGAAAATCTTTTATTAATTTATTAACTAATAAATTTCATAAATGAAAATTGACAATTTTCAATGTATTTAAAAATTAAAAACAGTATTGTTTTGGTTATTATCTCAACAAAATCAAGTCTTAATAAAAAATGAAATAATTATAAAAAAATTCTAGTAAATTATTTGAATTTTTACACAATTTGGAGGAGACAATCTCATACTTTCCACCCAATCAATCATATATAAATTGTATGAATTGTTACTGTCCCTTAAAAATTTCTAATTATTGTTGGTAATATGCACAGTGATTCATGATGTTTTTCAAATGTAATAACTTTTGATTTACTATATATTTTGTGTTTCTTTATCTTAAATTATTTATGTATTCATAGGCTATGTTAAAATCTTATTTTAATTATTTGTTTTCCAATAAAACAAATTTTTCTTTTTTTTAATTTTCAAAATAGTCGTTTTTAAAGCTTTCTTTATAGTAATTCTAATGAGTTATTCACTATTTTTAGAACGAGTATTTATTGTGAGTGGGTATGTAGTGCTGTTGTGTATAGTTCGTAATGGTGTATATTTTTAATACATATAATAATTTTTGTATTATGGGAAAAATTAATGAATCAACATTTTGAATATTTATGAGTATTATAAATTTAGTTAAATGAATTTTAAAAATTATCTTTATATTTTGATTTTTTACATTGTTTGCAAAAAAATCTTTAGATTAAAAAATAAAATACATATTCAGTGGTTTAAATGAAATTTTTATGCTATGTCAACGAAAATAAGTATTTCAGTTTAGTATGGAAGAATGAAGAAAAAATCTACTTAAGTGTGTCTTAAATGAAATAAATGTTTATCAATATAAATCACAAAATTAATTAATCAATTGTGTTTATTTTAATCAATTTTTTTAAGTTGTTAGCTAGAAACAGTTTGTTTCTCATGACTTCCATTTTATTACGGTAATAGAGATTCTATTGTCATACTTCATTTGAATGAAGTACTATTGAATAGATTTTTATTTATAGGATTAAGACTTAATGTTGGTAAAATATGGCTGTGTCCATTTTGTTTTATTCAGTAAATTATTGTCCAATTTAAATAATTTAAATACTAGCATTAAATATAAAAGCCATATAAAGATGTGTTTTAGGTTGGATTAGTATTAATTTACACAGAAACTTGTCCCTATTAAATTTTTCATTAATCTGAACTAAATTTAAGAGAAATTTAGTGCAAGTGAAAATATTATTTGTAACAGAATATTGACATCATTTTATTTTTACCTGAGTATGAAGTGTAATGAATACAAAATCTTTTTTGTATCATAAAAAAAATGAGTACTACTTGTTTAATATTGATATTTTAAATTGAACTTTATTTAAATATAAATATTTTATTTTCAGTTCAAAATCCTTCTAAAGGTAATCATTTCTATCAAAAATATAATAGTTGCATGAATTTTAGGAGGAACTTTGCGCTCTTTTAGGTTGTCCATAAATATGCCCCTTATTTTTACCCAAACAATTTTTCATAAAATAACTAATGTAGTCTTTATCAGTTGTAATAATTTTTCTGTATTGTATTTATATACAACTACAAATTAAAAAAAAAAATGGTCCTTATGGTGAAAAATAGTTTTGAATTGATTAATTTAGAAAAGGATAAAAGGAATACTTTTAGTTATAGCACAAAAAGCTATATTTCAGTTTAATTATTTTTATCATGCTTACAAAAAAATTTTCTTACCTAATGATGCTCCAAATAAATGAACATTTTTTATATCCATATAATCCAACAATTGCATGAAACCTTCACACCATTCTGTAACACTCCAGTATGGTGGATTTTCTGCCTAATTGTTCATAGGTAAAATATTATTTAAATAAATATTATTTTTTAATGAGACTATGAGTACTTTACAAAAAATTAGCATTATAATATATTATTATAATAACACAATATTATTAATTCAAACATAGAAAATTTTTTAATATATTTTTACATTAGTTTTCTAAAAATATTATAATTTTTGATTAACTGTTGGTTTTTTCAATGATAAATTTATTAATACGAATTATTCTGTAGTAAAAGTACAGAATATTAGTACCAATGTAATAATATATAAATATTTACTATAATATTTTCATTAAAAATTTATGATACTAACAGATATAACTCTATACCCTTTTGCACTAAGAGTTAATAATTGCTTAAAATAAATTTCTGCTGTACCACTGACAGGATGTAAGAAAATTAATGGTGTTTCAACAGAACGTGGGCCTGAGTCGTACACACGCCAACCCTGTAATTAAATACATTTATTAACACATGTAAATAATAAATACTTAATTAGACAAACTTTATTGGATGTGTCATCAAGTAATATTTTCTTAAGTGGTATATTACTTCTAAAACTTGTATATTCAGGAGATTGAGAAATTCGACTTGAAAAATTCATATTCAACAACAATTTTATTTAAATCTAATTTTTAATGTAAAACATAACGTAAAATTATACTACGTAAAAAATAATTCACTTATTATTATAAAACAAAAAATTAATTAATAGTGGAAAAACAACTTGTTGCTCAATATCTGGCGATATCAATGTTGAACATACTGATAATTATTATACAATATGTTGATTTATAATATTAACATAGATTAAATACACACATGTATTTGATCTATGATATTCATATGCATTAACCTTATCATATAGATAAGAGAGAAAGTATATTCGTAAATAACTGCTGATAATTCTATATTTTAACTCGTTTACCGAAACTCTTCAATAATAAATTAAAATTGAAGTAAATAATATTTACAATTGGACATTGTTTATTTTTTATCTTAATAGTATTTAATTAATTGTTAGTTTTTTTCTAACACTCAATTTAATTTTATTTTGTTATTAAGATTCTTCTGTATTATTTATAATAGTATTGAAAAATTTATTTATAGTAGTGTATATCTAATTTTTAGTGAAAAATTATAATTAATATGGATTTAGTAATTGATATAAACAATAAAAGCGCTGGACGTGATAGAGTTGCAAGGTATTATTTTATAAATTAAATTATCACAATTTTTTTCTACAATACCAGTACTTTATATCTCTATGGTACAACTATTTTGATGCATAATTGAGATTGATTATTAGTATTTATCTACCTCAATTTCTTTTAAACTAATAAAAGTTTAAAGAGATTATAACTTAGATGTTTGAAAAAATGATTGTCTTTTGGTGGAAAAGTAAATAATAAGATTAAAGTTTTGCATTTTTAAATAAATACAAATTTGCACCTTACTATTATATTATTTTATTTTGTCAATGAACTTCAAATGTTTTAAATTTTCTTAATTTTATAGAAATTTTCTTTATATTTTAGATTTTTACAATATGGTTCTAAAACTGCATGGCATTATATGGAAAAAAATGATGTTGATATTACTTCCATCAATAAGTTCAAACAATTGGAACAATCATTGGCTGCTTTTCGAAAACGTAAGTTATTTTATTTAATAAAAATTAGTAATTTTTAAGGTTTTCTCTACAATTTTCTCTTGGTAAACCTGTAGACATTTAACCAGAACTATACCCGGATAACAAAAATATAGGATTAAAAAAGGACAATATAATAGTACTTTAGAATTTTTATTTCTTTTCTTTTACTACATACATTAAAAAAATAAACATTTTAATAATAAATGTTAACTTAATTAAACCTTTAAGGATATAGGTATAAAATATTGTAACTGTATATAAAGACTTAAGAAGCTTCAAAGGTTCCAGTACCAAATAAAAGAATAGGTTCTGAAAAGTTTAAATTGTTTGTTAAAAAGTTATTAGACAAAAAAATAGTTGTCATGAAAACATAATTTTAGTTTTATTTTTACATATATCCTTCCTTGAAAGTCCTTAATTTACTGTAATATTTTCATAGTTATTTGAATAAAAAAAATTTACTAGATTTAGGGATTACAGAAATATTATAAAGCTGGATTGCTAAAAAATTATTGGACAGAATGCAGCATAAGTAACTATTTTTTGCAAATTGAATAATTCAGTGAAAATTAATCAAATTTCAACTTTTTTTCTTCATCATTAAATTAATTAAGAAAAATTACATTTACCATATAACCACTGATGTTTTAGCAGACAGTTTTCCTTTTGTTGAAGTTGATGATGATTAAGCATAGACGTTCCCATAAATTTCATTGATCATATGTTTAATTTCCATCTTAAGTTCTGAAATGGTTTGTGATTTGTTCACATAAACTTGTAACTGGACATATTCCCATAAAGAAGTCTAGAGGAGTCAGATCTTAAGAATATGCTAGTTATAATTTTTCATAACTAAATCGTAGATCTTTATGAATGTAAATTAAAAAGAAATTTAAGTTTGATTCATTTTTCATTAATTTCTCTCATTTTCTAAAAGATAGTTACTGTGCTAAAACCTGCATTAACTTAAGCTTCTCAATAAAATAAAAATAATTTTTTTTTTGTATTTTAATATATTTTTACTATATTTAATATCAATTCAAATAAAGTGATGAAATATGCATTTGAATAATTTTATTAAGCTAATTAAAATTATATTTTTGTTTCAGTTTTACGTTTTGGTCGGTTTATTGATACTTTATATGCTGCATTAAAAACAGTTAACCATTCTGATAAATCAATACGATTTTGTGTAACTTTTTCTAAAGTAGCACATTCCCTGTACTTATTATGTGATCATTACTTATGGTTAGGTAAACAAAATTTTATTCAAGTGAATACTATTAAATGGACTCAAACATCTAATAAATATTGGCTTTTATCGATTGTATTAAATCTAGTTAGAGATGTTATAGAATTAAATAAGTTGTTAAATTCAATGCTAAAGAAGAAAATTTTAAATACTTTAAATAGAAAAGTAACTCCTAAAGATGTTTTTTCTAGTGGAGCTGTTCAATTTGTTAGTGATCACAAAGACTTATTGATAGATACTGTAAAAAATGGCTGTGATATTTTGTTACCCTTAACTAATTTAGGTCTTATAAGACTTAGTCCTGGGACCATTGGTGTTGCAGGTATGTTATCTTCAGTTTTAAGTTTATACACAATATGTGATCAAAGAGCTAAACTACCATATTCATAGAAATATTTTAAATTGAGGAATGCTCCTTATGTGTTCTTTGAAACCAGTATTAAGACTGCTATTGTTCAATCTTTTTTTTATATATACAAAATAAGTTTAATTTATAAGTATATGTGTATATTTTTTGTTATAAATGTTATATGTATGAACATGAAAAATGTTTACTGGTTAATGCAAATTTATATTTTTATTAATAAAGTCAACTTTTAAATTCATGTGAACTTTTGGGATATTAACAGATTGGTCTTAATTTTAAACAATGACTATTTTGTATTAGTGAATATTTATTTGTGCATTGGTGATTTTTTTTTAATTTATTGATTTTGTTGTTAAGTTTTATAAATAAGAATAGAAGTATTTTTTTATGTAAGCGTAAGTTAAAAGGAAAGTGTAATACTGATTATTAATAATATACTATTATTATGATATAATGATTTTATATTATGATTTAATTTAATTTAATTTATATTATGATTTAATAATATTTGGTTTTTAAAAAATTATATAAAAATGGGTTGATAAAAATATTTTGTTTGTATGTCTGTTAATTATTTAACTTAAGTTTGTTTCAGAGTTTATATAAAGAGTATATATATTTTTTATTGGTTATAAAATTATATACTATTATATTTTAATTTATTAAAATCCCTTTTTTAAAAAAGAGATCATTTACCCCTAATTAGGCTACTTAAAATGTTTTATTTGGAGCAATGACTCTATTTTGTCTTTTATAAATATTTCTATGAGTAGCTTATTGTTTTCTTATCTTGTTGAAAGTTTTAGAAATAACGCTTAGGAAGGCTTAAACTCAATATACTTTCTCTGTTTTATCTACAAATTATAACTTAATTTAAGATTGTACAAGAGTGTAGTTAACACCATTGCCCTTAAGACACCCCAGTCAGCTAAGAAGATTCTTTTCAAATATTATAGGTGGTAAAATAAAATTAAAAAAAGTCAGTCACTTAGTCAAATGTAGATGATTGCCTTATTTTGAAAAATATCATTGGACACCTTAAACTTTTTTAACATAACAGATTTTTATGCGAAATTATGATCAGTAAGAATACAAACAACTAAAAAAAAATAAATGTACCCTCCCCATAAAATGAGTTTTAATACGACCCTATGAAGATTTTAATTTTAACCAGTTTTTTAACTGGTTAAAATATATGACACATGATAATATTCCCATAAGTATTCAAATATTATAATACTCGCATTACTATTATACATATTGAGGCACTTGAAGTTTAAATCGACTACTCGTTTTGTATTGAATAAGAACGTATCATATTTCTTGAGTTGTATATTTAAAGGGTACATGTGTGGGTCAGTCAGGTAAACAAAATGAACTAGGTCAATAAATTCGAAAATAGGTAAACGAAAAATCATGTTCAGTGGCAACATAGAGGATTTAGAATTGAATAATGTACATATATAAATGCACATTTACATTTATTTTATTTCAAAATTATAATGTACTTGTTCAGGAGCGTCATTTCAGTTTTTTTTTTTTGATGTACGAGATTTCAAGTAGGCCATATAAAAATAGATATACCTATTTAAGTAACTTATTTTTCTTTTAATTTTCCCATTGATTATGAATAACAATCAACATAAGTAGTAAATATAAATTATAATAATATTTACTATTTTGATATTATATAATATAACGTAGCGTTGGGTTCGTAGCAAACGTTGAATTTTATATTTATCAGTTCATTACCATTATCAATTATTGTTATTAACTGCGCGGCAAAAAAGTCGTGGTAAAAACGTTAGCACAGGGAACCCTAGGCACTTAGTGGGCCATTTTTGGTAAGTACAGTGGGGTCGTGGCATAGTTGAGTCAAGTATAGATGATAACTGATAGTGATTTCAATCACTATCATAAGAAACGTTACGATGCAAATTAGTAGATAGTGTTTAATTCTAAGAAATTGGTGGATTATTCCAAAAGCAAAAAAAACTCCTATTTTTTGTTTTACATTAACTGCCATTTGGACATAGAAAATAGGTCATAAGTATAAATTTGTTTTTTTGAACTTCTAGTACATAAAATAAGCTTTATTTTAACATATATTTAAAAAACGCAGTATTTCCAGAATATTTTCAAAAGTTCTACTTTTTATATAAATTTTCAAGTTTTCAAAAATTCAAAAAAGTTTTTTGTATAAATTTATATTTAATGTAAGTTAGATTAATGTAAATTTTATATTCATTGCCTGACTTATTACTATGAAAAACCCTTATAAGACTATTTATACACGACGTAGCCACCGTATTACACGTATACATAGATAAAACAACTATTTAAGCTAATTCAAAAATTCAAAGTCACTTTTCTTAACTTTGAGGAGGTAAAATAATGAAACTAAGTTTATATTTATATTAAATGTGGAATATGGGACTATTAGATTTAATTAGTGAAAAGAGGTATGAGAGGCTGTGGCATCAATGAAAAAGAATAAAGCAGTAGGACCACATGAAGTGCCAGTAGAAGTATGGAAAATATTAGGCGGTGTTGGCATAAGGTGGTTGAAGGAACTTTTAAATAAAATCTTATTAGAAGGGAAAATTCCAAATGAATGGAGAAATAGTATTGTGGTGCTAATTTTTAAAGGTAAAGGAGACATACAGGAGTGTGGAAATTATAGAGGCATAAAGCTTATGAGTCATAGTATGAAAATTTAAGAAAAGGTAATAAATAAGAGAATAAGAAATAAGACATCGGTATCTAAAAACCAGTTAGGATTTATGCCTGGTAAGTCAACAATGGAGCCAGTATTATGTGTGAGGCAACTAATAGAAAAGTTTAAGGAAAAGATGAAAAAGCTGTGTATGGTATTTATAGATTTGGAGAAAGCGTATGATAGAGTACTGAGAGAGGTTTTAAAGTGGGCATTAATGAGAAAAGGAGTCCTTAAAAGGTACATTAATATAATAGAGGATATGTATGATGGCACTTGTATCAGAGTAAAGAGCATAGGAGGAGTAACAGAAGGTTTTCGGGTAAAAGTAAGAATGTACCAAGGTTCTGCTTTAAGCCCTTACTTATTTTCTATAGTGATGGATGAAATTACTAGAGAAATACAAGGAGAGCTTCCGTGGTGCATGTTAATTGCTGACGATGTAGTGTTAATAGGAGAAAATAGGGAGGAAATTAATCAAAGGCTAGAGGTGTAAAGATTAGCTCTTGAAGAAAAGGATTTAAGAATAAGTAGGAGTAAGACGGACTATATCGAGTATGAGTTTGATAAAGGAGTACACGAGGTAGGTGAAATGAGGAGATCAGTGACAATAGGCGAGGGCGTGATAGCAGATGTGGAAAATTTTAAGTATTTAGGATCAGTTGTGCAAAAGAGCGGTAGTATTGATGAAGATGTAAAACACATGAAAATGCGGGTGGTTGAAGTGGAAAGAAGCGTCTGGTTTCTTATGTGATAATAGAATTCCAATGATGGTGAAAGTTAAATTTTACAAAACTGTAGTGAGACCAGCTATGATGTATGGTTCAGAATATTGGTCGGTTGACAAGAAAGTAGAGCAAAGAATAAGTGTAGCAAAGATGAGAATGCTTAGATAGATGAGTGGAGTGACTAGAGAAGATAGGATAAAGAACGAGCATATAAGAGGGAGCATAGGTGTAGCATCAATTGTGGATAAGATGAGAGAAAATAGACTTAAATGGTTTGGTCATGTTATGAGGAGAGAATATAAGGATTATATATTATCTGAAGCTATAAGGACAGCTATAGAAATGAATGTTAAATGAAAAAGAGGTAGAAGAAGACCAAAAAAGAGATGCAGGGATGTTATTGAATGCGATATGGGGACAGATGATATGAAAGATTGTGTCAAGTGGAAGTTTTGGGTAAGGGTGGCCGACTTCAAGTAGTTGAAATTAAGGCGAGGAAAAAAAAGAAGAAGAAGATTTATATTTAATGTTAGTTAGATTTATGTAACTTTTATAAAAATTGTTGGACTCGTTACTATGGCAAACGTTTATAAGGCATTTTAAAATAAATAAAAAAAAAAATTTTGAACACAAAAATAGCACGTTTTTTAACAACGGCAGCATTTGCATAAAGAAGACAAGTTGTCGAGACAATTTTTTTTTTAATTTTTAGTACGTGACATAAGTTTAATTTGACAATTTTTTTATCCTATAATACATAATGTGGACTTTAATTTACCATATATTTAAAGAACACAGTATTTCCGGAATATTTTCAAAAGTTCTACTTTTTATACGTTTCATGTTTTAAACGTCACCTGTATAAGGGAAAATTACCCGATTTAAAAAAAAGTATGTCGGATGAAAGGGTTATATATAATATTTTTAGAAACAAAAATTTGTGTTGATACATACATTTTTTAAAAAGTTATAGCAATTTAAAGTTGAAAATTTAAAATCGAAAATTGCATTTTTTTAACTACGGTAGCCGTTTATACGTAGAAGATAAGTTGTTTGGACAATTTTTTTTTTTTAATTTATAGTACGTAAAATAAGCTTTAATTTGACATATGTTTAAAGGACACAATATTTCCAGAACATTTTTTAAATTTAAGTTAAAAAAGTTGAGTTTTGTGTAAAAGTTACTATTTTGAATCTCATCTTGTGGGCAGGTAAAGGGTTAGACCTTACTTAAGGTTTAAATATAAAAAATAATTATTTTGTTAATTTTTCAATAAGTTAAGGTAATTTTTAGAAAAAATAAAGTGAAAAAAATGTCGAAATTTACTGATTTTAAAAATCGTAATTTTTTGGTGGATTTTCATAATTTACGAAGAATTAGGGGAAAATTTTCAATTTTTAACATAATGTCTTCAACGTTTTACGATTTGTAATCTTTTGACGTATTGTTGAGAAAAATCGGTTCAGTGAGAACTGAGAAAAAGTAATGACAGACATACAAAAAAAAAAAAATAAACACATCATGGTAAAATAAATACCCTCTCAAATTCGCATCGAAGCTAAAATTGTTACGAACATCAATATCGATATCTGGTGTTCGGCACGAATATCAATAGTTCAGTATGATATATTTATTGTTAAAAAAAAATTGACAAGGGTGGACGAAATGTCCAAATGCGGCTCCGGAGGAAGGACTAATTCTATAAGGGGTTTTTATACAGTTACTTTTGGAGAAATCGTTATTTGTTAATGATGTTATATTTCTATTGATAAAAATAAGTTTTATAAATTTACCACTTTTTCTGATAAAAAACAATAATAAATAAGTGTCTGTGTATAGTACCTACAGTGATATAAATAAGGAAAAATGAAAAATGCGTCTGTATTAAGGCCCCTAATTTCATGGGATCTTTCTGACTTTTCGGAATACTGATTTTTTCATATTTACATTTTAACTGAAATTGTTTTTCGCATTTTTACACTTGTATAACTAGGTCTATGAAAATCAATATTTAAATTTTAATTATGAAATACCCTGAATGAGTTTTAATGGTAACAAAAATAATCTGTGTAAATTTTGAGATAAATAAAGCTTTATTAAGAAGTGTTTCAAAGCCTTTAAAATTAAAAGAATAGTTATTAAAAAAAAAAAAATGAAAAAAGCTGAATTTTATATAGCATAACCTATATATGAGTCGTCCAGTTGCAAAAGGACACAAGTCCAATTTTTTTTTTATCTTGTCATAAATTAATTCGTAAAGAAAAAGTAAAATTACAAACAAAATTTTCGGACACACACACTATTGCAACTAAAACACTCATATAAGTCTTAGATTTACAGAATATAGCTACTTGAACTACTATTTGTCCGAGTCTGATAGCTGATAATAATAACTAAAACGACAATATTATATTTTGAAGTGATATTATGACACTGGATTATCTTTTCATTGAATTTAATGATGATAGAATTAATTAAAACGTAATTAAAAAACATGCAATTTAATAAATGTAACAATAATATTTAACGTTTAAACGTGTACAACTATCTACTCGGCTATATAAAAATAGATATCGTAGATATATCAACACAATAGCACATAAGTTTTAAGTCCAAATTACAAATGACTGTAATTTTATTATTTTTAACACCAATCTCATGACACAAATCAAAGTCTATACTACAGCGAATATATTTATTTAATAACCATTATGGTTTATAGGTGTTAGTTATTTATAGTTTACACTTGATATTTCTAAAAAAAATTGAATTTTTTAATAATCTTATAAGTATACCTAAATAATTAGCGCACAAAAAATCGTTAAGTTAACGATCACAGTAAAAAAGTCTGATCCACGGCGTACCGGAAATCTAATAATGAGTTCAAATTGAATATTATTTTTTCAGAATAATGATTAGATCGCCTTTAATGAAATGTTGATAATAATAACAGGAATAGTACCAATGAAAAATAGGTACGTTCGAATAAATTTGGGATAACCGGAAATAAACCAGTTATTTATTATGTGTAATTGTGTATANATTGAATTTTTTAATGATCTTATAAGTACACCTAAATAATTAGCGCACAAAAAATCGTTAAGTTAACGATCACAGTAAAAAAGTCTGATCCGCGGCGTACCGGAAATCTAATAATGAGTTCAAATTGAATATTATTTTTTCAGAATAATGATTAGATCGCCTTTAATGAAATGTTGATAATAATAACAGGAATAGTACCAATGAAAAATAGGTACGTTCGAATAAATTTGGGATAACCGGAAATAAACCAGTTATTTATTATGTGTAATTGTGTATAACTCGTTTTCCTTACAGAATAAGCTGTTGGGCTATTTATGGAACCATTCAGCCTACGATTAGAAAGATATAAACATCACATAGTCAAACATACTCGGATATTTACAGATTTGTCAAAATCGAATATTATTATATATATAGTTAGTTGATGTGGGAGGATTTGTCGTTCATAAATAATGTGTCGTTCAACTGCCCTGTAGTTATTAAAAGTAGCGAATAAAGTGAAAACTTGGTCTTTCAAAATTATGAGGGTGCACCGTAAGGGTTTTGGACACCAGCTGTCATAGTGTTTTGTGATACCGAATAATATAGACTATATTTATGAAGTTCTATTACAAGTAAATCAGTTTGATTTGAAACAAGGTAAAATTGGCATTCCCCCCCCAAAAAAAAATCTTAATAAGCATCCATATATTTTTATACATTAATCGTAAAATTCAAATGTTTGATTTTTTTGACTTAACATAAAAAGAACGCTGAAAGTCCACAAGTCATAACTACGGGTGAGTGAAAATTAAAACAAATTTCAATCAATGGATACATTTACCTATTTGATGAGGTAACTATTAAGTTTAGCATATAGTCTATCTACTATCGAGTTACCGACCGGTCACGGGACTAGCAGCCGTCTCGACGTGGTTAATGTTATTGTTGTGCTTTTAACTCTCGAGGATATAAGACCTAAACTTAAAGCGTTATACGTAAAGTTTAAGTGGGGAAAAAACAGACACCTTAGCAACCGGGTGGGGATATCGAAAACAAACGCAATAATATTGTTTGTGCGGTGTGTTTTCTTTTTTACTACTGTACGTTGCTCCCCACCCATAAAATAACTTTGCCATCATTACATATTTATTATATGGTGTTATTATACTTCTATACAAACCACTACTATTATTATTTTCTCGTGTGAGAGCGCGCGTTGCAGTGTTTCTTTGAATCAGATTTTTTTTTTTTTACTTGCCGCCATCGTTGAAGGCCACACGACCGCCGAATGCCCCGGCGGACTACAGAATTCATTCTGGTATCGCTGCCGCCGACATCACCGCCATTATCACACACATTCGACTGGTCGTAATATCCACTGCGTGTCAAGACGGTAGTACGTCGCCGGCACTGTCCGATGGTCCGACGTGAATGCAACCGACGACCGGTTTGAAAAAGGAAAAAACATTATTTTTCTTTGGGGGATTAATTATCAGTGTGTCACGTGTGTGTGTCGTGAGACGTTCTTTATCGTAGTTTAGTGAGTGTTTTGGCGAAGTTCTGTTGTTTTGCTTTTTACAATATTTTTAATAATATCATTGAACACAGAGTGCGGAGAACTGGTCACTCGACTCGAAGACCAAGGTTCACGTGGAGTAACTGATCTTAAACAATCGATACAGGTTAGTTTTGAAAGACCTTAGAACTAAAAGCTTGATAACAGGCTGATTGTAGTACTCGATATGTCAGTTCCGATATACATATTTCTATAAGTGCTCAATGTGCTCAACTGTTGGCTAGAGTTGTCTCGATGACTCTTGTACAATAGGCCTCACCCACTATTGATGAGGTAACTAAATGTTATGACCTTACCTCACCCAAAAGTGTTGAAGAGATATGTCCCCACGTGACAGGTGTAGGCTATGTCACTTTTACTGATACAATATCGCGTTGTAATTATTGATGCGATTTGATCTAAGAGCAATATGAACGAAGTCATTACTAAACGTTTTTGGAAGTATTATGATAATATTATTACGTATTGTTATGTGTGCTTGCGATTACTCAGCGGGTTTCGCGGGAACGCGTTAAAGTCTCCCGCAGACTCCGAAGTTATGGACAAGAAGAGGGGTAGGGTTCACGCGAGTTTTCTCATCGTTGCGATTAAGGCGATCAGATTCGAAAAAAATTCTCATGATTAATTAACCAAATCTGAGTGTGTTCACTTTTTACGTGTCCTAGAACCCTTTTTGAAAAACTAGTACTCTCCGTCGTATTCCAATAGGTAGAGGTTCTGCAATCGTTTTATGTAATATTGTTTTTGGACAAGTTTATTTCAGTACATATTAGCCAATTGTAAGATGGCAATAAAAATTAATAAACAGATTAAAATTTACATTTAAAGAAAGTTTATTTGTGTATTGAACGATTATATAGGCGATTACGACTATTTGTGAAATTTATTTTATTTTAAAAATCACACTTATTCGATAATTTCCTATAATAATTAATAACCTGTTATCACACTTTGTTAATTAAAATTCACTTGTTTCAGCGAAGTTATTTAAATATAACTACATAATCGGAATAATGGCGTGGAATATTTCTTTTGGTAAAAATTTCATTTTATCGACAATTTAAAGAAATTTTAATTATTGACTATTTACTTAACGACCTCAAAGAAATGTTATTTAACAACTAACGTTAAAGACAGCATTTAGATCCTTTACGAACGTTTAACATTTGTAATTTTCTTCGTAGTATATTAAAAATACTATTTTTAAATAAATTAAATTGACGAAAAAGGTTCAGTCAATTTTAGAAATACATTATAAATGTATAATTAATATATTATAATTGCTTAGGGCGTACATAGACGCAGCTAGAATAATATTTTTGTGGGTTCTAAATTAATTTTTCTCATGTCCAAAATTTTTCTTAAATAATATACAGAGTAATCAACAATTTCATTAACCATAAAATAAAAATAATATTGATAATTTTTTTATTGGTTTGTTTTAGTTCAATGTTTCTCTCAATTTTTAATTATGCAGTATATTTTATATTCATCCCTTAATATTATAAGGGTCTCAATTTTATTTTTCAAATGGCAACATACATAATTAATGAGCTAATTTAACAAATAATGATTTGATTAAAAAAAGGCTGATCGATAACAACTTTTTGACTAATACTTCAGAATTTATTAACATTTTAAATAATATTAGTTAATTATTTGTGTTGCTATTTGAAAAATTAGAGTTGGTACCCTTATAAGGAATGAACATAAAAATTCTTCATGGTCGATAAATTGAAAAAAAAAACATTAAACTAAATAAAACCAATAAAAAAAAGTATCAATATTATTGTTAGTTTTTGATTAATTAAGTAGTTTGTGATAAGTAAATCATTCTGTATATACAATTCTTTATATTTTTAGTGTGTTAATTTTTTAACTGGGAGAAGCTAAATCCTCTTTAGTTACCTTAGTTGCGCGTTTGAAGTTGTATTTAAACAAATATGACTGTATAGATTTAGCAGTGACGCCGATGTCAAGTTTTATGGTTATTGCATGATAAAAAAAATTCACTGAGATATCACCACCTGAAATTTTTTTTTAACTTTTACTGTTTATTACTTATTGTTAAAGTACCTTTTCGTGAAATTACGGACATTAATCAGGAGAAACATGTCCTCTGATGTACCACTCACTAAATATATGTATACAAATCAGATATATTAATAGAGATCTAGTAATATAATTAAAAGTTGATAATTCAGCGAGAGGCACTCTTTGGCCACTTTAAAATTACCTATGGTTTTATTTACACTATATTAATAGTCGAAATTTTACATTTTTTTTAAAGACCGTTAGAAATAAAAATATGTGACAGCATTTTGATGCTTTATTCAAAACACAAATAGAGAGGTACTTTGGTAACATAGTACCCTCAAAATTTTGATAAATTGCATTTATAGTTATATAAAGTAAGTTTTTAAATGGTGATGATATTGCACTAAGCACCCCCAACATTATTTTACTATTTGTGCCTGTGGTCTTACTAGTAGGTTTAGAAAAGACATATTTTTGGTTATTGGTGAGATGATAGCTATTAAGGATGTTCATTATAATGTCTTCTCTTTATGTCAAAAATATAGTAATTAATATTTAAAACAAATATAATAGTACGGTAATGTTGGCAATTTTTTAAACTTTTTCACTACAAAATTTTCATAATGTCATATTAATGAGGTCTAATCTCCAATATTTCGTTTATAATCGAAGTACAAATTGTCATGGCGAAAATAATAAAATAGAATAATTAGCCCATTAATTGTTTATTTGTCAAGCTTTAAATGAAATATTTTATATCATAGACACTATGTTTGTATTGATATTAGAACATTTTCAATTATGATCATGAGTACCTTGACAATAGACTCAATTACTATATAAGTAAATTCATTTTGTTTATAGTTCATTCATTGATAAATAACTTGTATTTATTGCTATTATATATAAATACAATTTCAAAACAAACTAAATGTATTTTTCAGTAATACTTGACCTGTGAAAATCAGCAAAAAACACACGTGCAAAACAAGTCCGCAAAACTGTATCGTACAAGTATATTAAATTCTTTACAATATCGTAATCGTCAGGTTATGTCGAAATTCGTGTGAATGAACTCGTACACAACTATATAGTTTGTCGGTCATGTGTAGTTTTGACACCGCACGATATTCGATCGTGACATGCTCCTTCGTTTTTTAGTAGTCAAAAATGTGTATATTTATAGTTGGGGGTATGTTTATTTTATTAAAAAATATCGATATTGTTACAATCTTAGCCACTACTTACAGGAGTACATTCTATATTGTTGTAATGTTTTGTTTACTGTTGTCAACAGCACCAGATGGGGAAAAAGGGCACGCCGAGATTTTCAATTTTTTTTTTTGACAAAATTACATAATCAAAAATTTTGAGCGAATGTTCAAAAAGTGCTCTCTTGTAGATGCTTTTTTCAGCGCCAATTAGCATTTGTTGTTCATTTTTTAATAAATCAATTCAATTCAACCAAGATAAAAACCTACCATCCCAATGTTAATATCATAACGGTAAACGGTGTACATTGTTATTGCCTTATGTCTGCTTAAAAATTGTCTCAAATAGATATTTTCCAAATCTAAGTATTTATAAATATNGTGTTCATTTTTTAATAAATCAATTCAATTCAACCAAGATAAAAACCTACCATCCCAATGTTAATATCATAACGGTGTACATTGTTATTGCCTTATGTCTGCTTAAAAATTGTCTCAAATAGATATTTTCCAAATCTAAGTATTTATAAATATATTGTACTTATTGTTTTCAGATTTTTATTATTACGTGAGTTGTATTTCTATCATAACATATAAAACCTAAATGAAGGGCCTCAAATTAAAGGACTCTCTGAGATTTTTTGGTATTCGCCTTTCCTATTTGGTCTATATTGTCGATTCTAACAAAATTATACCAGTAACGTTCATAATTTTTTATTTAACTTAATGTAATTAATGACTTGAATTTCGACTGTCCGCTAATTAATTAGGCATTAAACTCTATTGTATCCAACTCATTCTTCGCATTTTAAATTAGATGTAAAGTGTGGCAGATGGTGGCATTATCTTTAACGATATTTTTATAGTTGTTTTTAGTCAGTTGTTAACACAGCAGTTACATTTCCTCGATATCAATCAGTCATTTTCTAATTATTTTTGCGTAAAACTTTAAAATTTGTACATTGCAGTTAGTTTAAAATGAGGTCTCTATTTATACTTGTTCAATACCAGCTGTGGCCGTGGACATTTATTAAATAAACTTGGCCAATATTAATACTAAAGTCTGTTGAAAACCGATTCGGATACATTAGGTTAAAATATGGAAGGTTTTATAGTAATTTTAGTAGTTTAGAAGTTAAAACCGAGAGAAATGTTTTATCTGAAGCTAATAAAATTCAACAGTTTAATGAACGAATTCAAATTTATACAATTTTCTAAATTTTTTATTATTAGGTAGTATTCTGTGAAACAATTGTAAAAACGACGAAATATTGTACAAGCTGAAGGAGAATGGCGTCATCAATGTTTAATTTTTATGTTAACATTTTATTACTAAATTGAACTTTTTCCACGCGATGAAACGAACTATAGTCGTCTTTAATTTTGTTTGGGAATTATGTACTTCAAAGCTTATACTTATACAAAACAAAAAATCATTATGAGTATTATGAGTAAAGAGTTACAGCTTGTTTATTAAAAGTAATTGGGAATTAATATGTTCTACGCTTTTTGAGCTTATTGTTATTACTTCGTAGCTAATTGTAAGTTTGCGAACACTCAAATATTTTATTACAACTTGTTTACGAATTAAGTTGTAATTGTACTTGGAAAAAATGTATTTTTATTAATGAAATTAAATATTTAACAGCAGACGGTCGTTATTTAATTAGTGAATTTTTAATAAAATTACTTATTTATTATATGAAAAGTTATTTTTAATACAAATTCTGGTGGGAAATATTGAATACAATAATATTGTTGTGTGCCAATATCTAATTATACTTTAAAATTCAATCATCAGACTCCAAATGGTTTCTCGTAACCCCGTCACTAACATAATTCACTGCAAACATCTTAA